AGACCAAATTGCTAACATGTGCTGGATTATGGAGAAAGCCAGAGAGTTCCAGAAAAATATCTACTTCTGCTTCATTGACTATACAAAAGCCTTTGACTGTGTTGACCACAGCAAACTATGGCAAGTCCTTAAAGAAATGGGAGTGCCTGACCACCTTATCTACCTCCTGAGAAACCTATACGTGGGACAGGAAGCAACAGTTAGAACTGGATATGGAACAATTGATTGGTTCAAAATTGGGAAAGGAGTACGACAAGGCTGTACATTGTCCCACGGCTTATTTAACATATGCATACTACATCATGCGGAAGGCTGGATTGGAGGAATCCCAAGGCGGAATTAAGATTGCCAGAAGAAATATCAACAACCTCTGATATGCAGATGATACCACTTTGATGGCAGAACGTGAGGAGGAATTAAGGAACCTTGTAATGAGGGTGAAAGAGGAGAGTGCAAAACGGTCTGAAACTCAACATCAAAAAAACTAAGATCATGGCCACTGGTCCCATCAACTCCTGGCAAATAGAAGGGGAAGATATGGAGGCAGTGACAGATTTTACTTTCTTGGGCTCCATGATCACTGCAGATGGTGACAGCAGCCACAAAATTAAAAGACGCCTGCTTCTTGGGAGGAAAGTGATGACAAACCTAGATAGCATCTTAAAAAGCAGAGACATCACCTTGCCAACAAAGGTCCGCATAGCCATAGCTATGGTTTTTACAGTAGTGATGTAAGGAAGTGAGAGCTGGACCATAAAGAAGGCTGACAGCTGAAGAATTGATGCTTCTGAATTGTGGTGCTGGAGGAGACTCTTGAGAGTCCCCTGGACTGCAAGGAGAACAAACCTATCCATTCTAAAGGAAATCAAACCTGAGTGCTCACTGGAAGGACAAATCCTGAAGCTGAGGCTCCAGTACTTTGGCCATCTCATGAGAAGAGAAGACTCCCTGGAAAAGTCCCTGATGTTGGGAAAGTTTGAAGAGGAGAAGGGGACGACAGAGGATGGTTGGACAGTGTCATCGAAGTGACCAACATGAATTTGACCCAACTCCGGGAGGCAGTGGAAGACAGGAAGGCCTAGCATGCTCTGGTGCATGGGGTCACGAAGAGTCAGACACGACTTAAAGACTAAACAACAAAAACTCATACTTTACATATGATTTGAACATTTTATGCACTTTACTGCATTAAATAACATTTGACCTTTCTCAAATCTCCTGCCTTCTTAAATCTCCTTCCACCTCCTCTGTTTCATTTGTTTGCTTTGGATATAACAAAAAAGGGAGAAAAAAATTCAACTTTCTTTTCCCCTGAAGAGCATCCTCCACATGCGTTCTAGCTGTCCTGTTCGCTTGAGGTCATTCCATTGTAGTTATGGCAGTGCTTGGTTAAGTAATATGTTTGCATTCTAATGGGAAGCAGATTAATTTTCCCTAACATCAAAGGCCACAATGGATCCTGTACGTAGTCCAGCTCCCACTCTCTTCCTCCTTCTGCTTAATATTTCCCATTCATTTCACTGCTTTTCCTATTTTAGCACACACATTGCCGTGAGACTACTGACCACAATTGCATTTCTTTCCCATAAAGGGAAATGTAGTAGAAAAGGGCTCACTATTACATGAGTCATCACTGGGGCAAGACTGCTCCTTTTCTTCCCACCCCTTCCCCGCCTCCCCTGTTTGCCGCCTCCAGAGGAGAAGGGAAAGAGAGAGGATGGTTGGACAGTGTCATCGAAGCGACCACCATGAATTTGACCCAACTCTGGGAGGCAGTGGAAGACAGGAAGGCCTGGCATGCTCTGGTGCATGGGGTCACGAAGAGCCAGACACAACTTAATGACTAAACAACAAAAACACATACTTTACATATGATTTGAGCATATTATGCACTTTACTGCATTAAATAACATTTGACCTTTCTCAAATCTCCTGCCTTCTTAAATCTCCTTCCAACTCCTCTGTTTCATTTGTTTGCTCTGGATATAACAAAAAAAGGGAGAAAAAAGTTCAACTTTCTTTTCCCCTGAAGAGCACCCTCCACATGCGTTCTAGCTGTCCTGTTCGCTTGAGGTCATTCCATTGTAGTTATGGCTGTGATTGGTTAAGTAATATAATGTTTGCATTCTAATGGGAATCAGATTAATTTTCCCTAACATCAAAGGCCACAATGGATCCTGTACATAGTCCAGCTCCCACTCTCTTGCTCCTTCTGCTCAATATTTCCCATTCATTTGACTGCTTGTCCTATTTTAGCACACACATTGCCGTGAGACTATTGACCACAAATGCATTTCTTTCCCATAAGGGGAAATGTAGTAGAAAAAGGCTCACTATTACACGAGTCATCACTGGGGCAGGACTGCTCCTTTTCTTCCCACCCCTTCCCCGCCTCCCCTGTTTGCCGCCCCCTCACTCTCCCCCTGTTGTATCTTCCCGGGTTTTTTTTCTCTCTTTTGCTCCTCTCTGTGCTCAGGTAGATGTGCAGTTCATTTTTGAAACCTGTAATTAAAACCACACATGTCAAAAGAAGTATTTAAAACTTTTAAACCGTCCCCCCAAATAGATATATATATATTTTACCATCATGTGATTTAATACCTAGTGCTCAACCTGGATGTGTGTTAATTATTATTATTATTTACAATAATTATTTACAATATTATTTACAATATTTTTATCCCACCTTTCTCCTTAAAAGGACTCAAGGTGGCTTACATCATTTAAAAAACTATGTGAAAGCTAAAACCAATGAGTATACAAAATATTAAATACAAAATATTGTGTTACAAGCCATCACATGCCTGTTGGCAGCTAACATGCAGTTAATACATTTTCTCTGGATTATTGAAAAGGTTTTGTTCCAGACCAAGTCAATGTAGGCTATCCAAGTGAGTGAGAACCCCAGTTTCTTTGTGGCCCCAACCATTCTAGACTGTGACCTTTGTGTGATTGACAAAACAACAGAGGGCATGGGTTAGCACACTTCTCTCTTTACGTGTGGAGTACACAGGCTGTCATGAGACACAATTAAGGCTAGAGACACCTCTTAATTTAATACTTAAATAAGACCAAAAGCTAGAGTTGGGGTTTAGTGGTTCTCTTGTCAAACCTCCCTTTCCTTTTTTTGGTGGCATCTAGTATTTCTCCACAAAACCAGTGCTAATTGAACATTGTTCAGGTCAACAGCACCAAACAAAGAGAACCTTGGCAACTCTGGGGATAATGTAGAAAAGAAATATGTGAATTCTCATTAGTATTTTGCCCAGTCTCATTAGTATGTTTCTTGGCTACCTCAAAACCTCTTCTGTCACATGCTCTTGCTGAAAAGAATTTTAAAAGCAACATATAAGGCCAAATGTCATCAGAAACAAGAAGCTACATAAGATCGCATCTCAGAAGAGACTCCGTTATTAGAGCTGAAAAATCTCATCTATGTAGAGATAGCAATAAGAGTCTGCCCTGTGCTGGTGCAAATTCATTTTGGTGGCCTTTGTAATCAGAGATAGCAATAAGAGTCTGCCCTGTACTGGTTCTGTGCAAATTCATTTTGGTGGCCTTTGTAATTAATAGATAAAATTCCATAGAAAATGTGGAGCTAAATTAGCTAATGTTGTATCTGTCCAATCAAAATGAAAACCTCTTGACTCCACTGCAGTTCCAGTATGTTTAGTATTCTCCAGATACATTGCTGTGCTTTAGTGAAATGGTAGAAACTGTGTTTGGTATTGAAAAACAAGCTGGGACCCATACTATGCATTAAATGCCCCCAGCTCATTTGTATGCTACACTTACTCAGCTAAATTCCTATGGCTCATTTAATGATTGTTGTATTTGCCAGCATTGCTGGGTTGGTGAACTACCAGATTTCATCAACATGCAAAGATCAGTTTCAGCAGCTGAGCTGACAGCAGAATACATGCTAAATACAGGTTCCCTATTCACTGCTGGGTGACATAGAGCTCTCCTTTCCAAATTGCTGCTGATACCTGTTTCATGTGGCTATTTGACATTCTCTCAATATACAAACTGTAAAAACCAGACTCATTAGCTTTTAGTTAGGCATACTCACTCCTCTACTAATCACTAATTTGGCACAGAAACAAAATATGAGCACCAGATGAATTTGAGGGTGTCATTACATGGGGATTTGTCCCACAGTTGGTCTGACCGCACAATTGCCAGGAAACCTCTTCCGCTGCGTGCCAGTGTGAACCAGCCGGTCCCCAGAGCACTCCTACCTGTGCCTCTTTGGCTCCCTGCCAGGAGCTACTCTTTTTTAAAGATACAGATAGGATCACTTCATTTTGGTTTAATTCCGGCATGTGTGATTGCTGGGTTTGAACCAAAGCTCCTGGCCGTTTGTCCTTTGCCGAAGCCACTGAAGGGTTGTCAGAAACTAGAAGCTTCCTTAACTCTTGCCTTTGGAGAGCAAGAGAGAGGAAGTTTTGAATTTCTCTTTAATTATTGGTAATGCATCAACAATGTTTTAAAAGCTCTTTTTAAAGCCGTCTCAATGCATTGCTGATAAGCAATGTCAGTTTGCAGCAATTAAAAATAACAGCAAAACTTTCCTTGCCTTTTCCTCCAAAGGTGAGCAGCAAGGAAGATTTAAAGGAAACCTTCCCAACTCTAAAGACTGTTAAGCAACTTCCTTCTCTGTGCTTTGCCTAAGCCATTTAAAAACCTTGAGAGATGAGAAACTTTCTCTTTTCCACACCCTTCTTAATTGCTTTAATATTCTATACACTCTAAATTCCACATCTTGACATCCGCAAGAGTCTAAATGAAACCCAAGGTTTATACTCCTAGATCACACATAGTGGCCCAATCGAATCATCGTTCCACATCTTGACATCCGCAAATGAGGATGTAAAATATTACATCCTCCAACAACTGGAAGGTTTGTTCATCACTTATTTCTTCCAATGAGATGAAGATGATTCGATTGGGCCACTATGTGTGATCACACATCCTCATTTGGGAATAATCCCCATTGAACTCAGTAGGTGTTGTGGAGGTCTTCCTCATTGCAACTTTGAAACATAACCATATATATATTAAGATTTTACAGTTACGTATATAAAGATAGCCAATGAATTTCAAATGGATACCAAACCCCAGTATATAGTGAACCATGGGAAGACAGCCATTATCTGAGAACCTTCCTTACCTTTAGCAAAGGTATGCTAAAACAATAAAAGGGCTTCTTCCTGAAGGAACATCAAAGGGTAATCCTGAGAAGGAATTTCATTACAAATTCTTAAGAGAAAAGTTCTCCACAGTGTTAATTTTGAGTGGATATGCATAGCACTTTCTCTGGATTAGGGCTGATCTGCAGGAACAGCCAAAACAGAAACCAACTGGGACGTGCAAATATTCTGTGAAATCATCTCACTTTGGTGGGGATTCTTATTACTGATTTGTTTTGCAGCCAAAATCCAACTGCAGAAGAAATTCTGTCTTGGGCTCAGAATTTTGACAAGATGATGAAAACACCAGCCGGTAGGAATATTTTCAGAGAATTTCTTCGAACAGAGTATAGTGAAGAGAACTTGCTGTTCTGGCTAGCATGCGAAGACCTGAAGAAGGAACAAAACAAGGAAGCCATTGAAGAAAAAGCAAGGCTTATCTATGAAGATTACATTTCTATTCTTTCACCAAAAGAGGTAGGGTTCTCAATCCCAAATCAGCTTTCAGCAGATAGTAGCCATTCAGCACACCATAGAAGAAGGTTTGGCATATTCTTCTAGAACAGTTGTTTCAAACTTTGGTTGTGGATTTCAGTTCCCAGAATCTCTGAGCAGGCTGGGGCTTCTGGGAGATGAAGTTCAAAATCTCTGGAGGGCCAGAGATGGAAAATAATTTTCCATCTTTATTGCTTTATTCATTATTCCGTTTGTCTCACTTATAAGCTGTCTTTCCCCTGATAAGGGGACTCAAAGCTTTAAAGTAGTCTTCTTTAACTTGGTACCATCCAGATGTGTGGTACTGCAGATACAATTTTTCCCAGCCAGCTGTGGGAAAACTGTTGCAGGCTAGAGGAAACAGGTGTAACTCAGTGCTTTGCCTGCAGAAGGTCCCAGGACAAGTCCCTAGGATCTCCAGGTACATTTGATATATGTCTACTCCAGGTAGACTTAATGTTGACTCAATATAGAATATTGAATGAGCTAGGCTGTGTGATATACTACGTAGAGTGAAGAACTAGGACTCATGAGACCTGGGTTTGTTTCTCCATTTAGTCATGGAAATTCATTGAGGGGGTGACACTAGTAAAACCATTCCTCAAATATCTCACTTACCCTAAAACCCTATTAGATCCACTACAAGTCTGATACAACCTGATAGCACATCATACAGGAAAAGAAAAGGAGAACACTGGAGAGTTGCTGCCACTCAGTGTTGTTAATATTGGGCTAGATGGACCAATAGGCTGACTCAGCATATGGGAGCTTTCTATATTCCTAAGAATTGTATAGATCCTAAGAAGCAGGGAATGTTTAATTATCACTAATGCAACTTCCAAGAAAGTCAACAAGTTTGTGATGTTGTGCCTATCTTCAAAAAGGGCAGAAAGGAGGGACCTGAGAACTACAGACCAGTCAGCCTGACATCAATCCCAGAGAAAATTCTGTAACAGATGATAAAGCAATCACTCTGCAAGTACTTTGAAAACAATGCATTAATAACTAGCAGCCAACACAGATTTGTCAAGAACAAATCCTGTCACACTAATCTTATCTTTTTGATCAGGTAACTTCTCTGGTAGATGACAGAAATATGGTAGATGTAATTTATCTTGGATTCAGCAAATCTTTTAACAAAGTGCCCCATGATATTCTGATTAGCACACTGGATATAACAACTGTCAAGTGGATACACAATTATAAAATTGTACTCAGAGAGTGCTTATTTAGTTAGTTATTTTATATATAACATTTATGTTTTATTTATTTATTGTATTTATACCCTGCCTATCTAGTCATTTCGACCACTCTAGGCGGCTTACAACATAAAGTATAACAATTTCAAGAAAAAATTATAAGAATTAATTAATTAAATGATTCTGCGATGGGAAAAATACAAATAAAGAGAAATAAATCAAATAATCAAATAAAGAGAAAAAGAATAAAAAAGGAAATAGGACAGGAATTAACTGGAAGGGAAGGCCTGCCTATACATCCACATTTTTAGTTGGTTCTTAAAAGTACCCAGCGAGGGTGCAGTGCAAATCTCCGGAGGTAGGTTATTCCAGAGGCGAGGAGCCACCGCTGAGAAGGCCCGGTTTCTAGTTCTTTCCTTCCGGGCCTCCCTTGGCGTCAGGCTCCTCAGCCTCACCTCCTGGCTCGCGCGGGTGACACGGGTAGAATTAGTTGGGAGTAAGCATTCCACCAAGTATTGAGGTCCTAAACCATTTAGGGCTTTATATGTAAGCATTAACACTTTGAAGTCAATGCGGAAACGGATGGGCAGCCAGTGCAGCATGGCCAGAGTAGGAGAGATATGTTGGTATTTTCTCACTCCAGTAAGGAGTCTGGCCGCCGCATTCTGCACCACTTGAAGTTTCCGCATCAGCTTCAAAGGAAGCCCCACGTAGAGCGTGTTACAGTAGTCTAATCTAGAAATTACGAATACATGTACTAAGGTAGTGAGTGCCCCCATGTCTAGGTAAGGTCGCAGCCGGGCAATCCACCAAAGGTGGAAAAAGGCAGTGCGGGCTACCAACGCCACCTGCGTTTCCATGGTGAGCATCGGGTCCAGGTGTACCCCCAGGCTGCGGACCCCACTCTTTGTGGCTAGGGCATATATACCAGCCAATTTAGTGAAATCAATACTCAGACTGGTTTACATAGCAAAAAACTGATAATTATATAAGATCAAATAAAATAAAAAATAAAAATCCTATCATTCACCATATTAATAAAATTATCAATCTCTTTCTCAAACTAGGAGGAGGTAACAAGTATGGCACCACAAGGTCCAGCCCTTGGACCAAGTGCTCTTCAATATTTTTATTAATGACACGGATAAAAGGGTGCAAGGAATACTTATCAGATTTGCAGATTGCACAAACTAATACTCTGGAAGACAGGAACAAAAGTCAAAAAGTTCGTGCTAGGCTTGAGCACTGGGCTGAAAACAACAGAATGAGCTATAACAGAGATAAGTAAAAAGTTCTACACTAGGGGTGGGGAATCAAATACACATTTACAAGATGGGAGACACTTGGCTCAGTAATGCTACAAGTGAGAAGGATCTTGGAATTGTTGCAGATCACAAGCTGAATGTGAGCCAATGGTGTGATGTGGCTGCCAAAAGGCAAATACTATTTTAGGATACATTAACAGCAGTATAGTCTCCAAATCCCATGAAGTGCTAGTTTCCCTCTATTCAACACTGGTTAGGTCTCATTTTGAGTACTGTATCTAGTTCTCAACACCTCACTTTAAGAAGGATGCTTACAAATGGCAGGAAGTTAAGAGAAGTGCAGCAAAGATGATGAGGGGACAGAAAACCAACCCCTATGAGGAAAGACTGAAAGAACTAGACATATTTAGCCTTGAGGGAAAAAAGACTGATGGGGGAGATATGATAACACTTTTCAAATACTTAAAAGATAGTCATACATAGGAGGGGCAGGGTCTGTTCTTTATTATCCCAGAGTGCAGGATGTAATAATGTGCTTAAGTTACAAAAAGGCAGATTTGGTTAAATCTCACTTATTCACTGTTAAAGCAGAACCAATTACCTCAGGAGGTGATGAGTGCTGCAACATTGGAGGCATTCAAGAGAAAATTAGACAATTGTCTGTCAGATATACTTCCATCTGGATTCCTGAATTGAACTGGGGCTTGGGCTTCATGGCTTTATAGCGCCCTTCCAACACCATTATTCTATGATTTTATGAATATATTTACTTACAGGCAAGGCCCCTCCAAGTGCAGGAATACTTCATCCGAGGTATAATTCCCCATTCAGGTAACAGAGTTCCATGTTTCTTTCTAAATTAAGGGATTAATCACCATCTCTTCCTTTTTTCTTTTTAGGTTAGTTTAGACTCACGGGTGAGAGAAGTGATCAACAGAAACTTGTTGGATCCTACTCCTCATATGTATGAAGATGCGCAACTACAGATCTACACATTAATGCACAGAGACTCTTTCCCTAGGTTTTTGAACTCTCAGATTTACAAGTCTCTTGTTGAAAGTGCTAAAGGCTCTGCTTCTGAAACTTAGGTCTAATTTGGGGATTGAAATCTTGACTTAGCTTTTTTGGGGGAGGGGGGAAGGACTATTAGGATGAAGACAGACGTAACATTTTTAAAGCAGTGGAAGTGCTCTGGAAGCATCCTCACTGCCTTCAGTCCAAAATGTACCTTTCCTCTCCGAGGTCAAACTCTGGTTAAAACCAGTTCTGTATCTTAGAGGCAGAGGCCGGCTGTGCACGGTGCTGATTTGTTGAGCCTACCACCACCATCCCCATGATGTCACCAAGAAACCTCCCCTCCAATAGCTGGAGCAGTGTTGCACTTTAGGAAAAGTTTCTTTTTAAAAATGAATATGGTGATGCATGAACCAATACATGCATGCATGTTCATGCAGCACTTTTAAAAAAGGAGGGGCAGCCAACCTGAAGCAGCTGGAGACAGAGGCAAGGCTGATAGCTGAGCATACGCATTGGTACACATAGCTGTCAATTCAGCTGCACAGTTGAGAGGAAGCTGGGCTGACCCTGCAACTGAGGCATGTGCTGTGAACTCTCTTTTTCTATTACATCTGTCTTCACCTTAGTAGTTTAATAACATCTGGAACTGAGTTCCTGGAGAACTACGGTTTAGCACTACTCAGGCTACTGTGAAGAAAACAAATACACACAATGGTCTTTGTCTACAAGGTCCTTCATGCTTGAGATGGGAAGGGAGAAACATAGATTTGCCAAATCACATTTGTTTCACATACCTTTCACACCTGCAGTTAAGACTGCAATGACGTGCTTGTCATTTTATGAAGAGTTTCCTTGTGTATCCTCACACTGCATGTGCAAAAGCAAAACTGCTTCACTTACCACTTAGTTGTTGCAATATTTAATTCAACAACATAAATTATATTTATACTTAAAAACATTTTGTGCAATATGGTCCTACGGTACTCACAGATATCATTGGAGGAAGCCAGATGGAAATTAACTCTAAAATGAGGCAAAATTAGTCCAAATGCTCTATGGAGAGAAAAATCCACTGCTGTGTAAAACAGATAATCTTTCTGTATAAGAAAGTGGGAGGATCTGTTACTATTATCATTTATTTAAAATTTAATGCAGGGGTTTCCTCCAGTTGTTGATTGCCAAAATGGTGGCATTTTCGTGACAGAATTTGAAATGTTCAAAGAAATAATTAACAATGAAGCACAAAATACATGAAGGGGTCCATGTGGAGTGACACAGTTAATGCGCTGACATTGTTTTTAATTGTTATTAAGAACAGATAATCAATGTACATTTCAGATGTCAGATACTGTAATGGATTTATTAAAGACTGGCTATCCAGTTATCTAACACTGTTGTGTAATGTTATGTAATTCAGCAAAAGATTTTAAAGGGGTGGGTAAAGAAAAGAATATTCATACATACACATAACCAAGGTTGATAGCTTAGTTTTTATTAAAATGCCTACATGTAGCATTTCAGTCCACTTTGAGGACTAGCATTTGTCTTTAAGTTAACATTTCTTGAAATCTCTGTCATATGAAACGGAATGTTTGTGTGTCTGCACACACTGAAACAAGTTTGTATTTTAAAGGAAAGGTGACAGAAGATGAATTATTTTCTGGCTGTCCTAAATTCTGAAAGAGTTATTGTGGGCCAAGAAAAGAAGATTTAGCTGGTGTTAAACTCAAACATACTGGGCCAAGAATAATGCCGATCCAATCCAATCCAATCCAATCCAATCCTTTCCTTTCCTTTCCTCCCTCCCTCCCTCCCTCTCCTTCCTTCCTTCCTTCCTACCACTAGAATGAAGAAGGGGGTGTAATACTCCCACAATCACATTGAGCTAACTCCTTTAGGGGCATCTTTTGCACAAGCCATTGTGGAATGAAAATGGGTTTAGGCAAAAGGAATTATTCTTTTGGTAGATCTCCTACTCACTGCAAATGTGCAACCAAGAGATTACTTGGAGATAATACCCTTTGCTGCTAGTACAGCTTTTTTTTTTTAGATAGCTGCTTAATTTTAAGGGGGAGAAGTGTTCCTAATTTCAATGGACATTGACCTTAAAAATAAATATCTAATTTCAAGGCTGTATGGCCGTTCACAGCTGCTGAAATTAGTACTAAATGCTGACTTTGACTTGGATGAACTTTTAGAAAGAGGCCACAGAACAGATACAAATAGAAGGATTTCTTATTACTGAACATGCTGGTCCCTGTGCTTGGAGAGGTTATGGTTGTTTGATTCTTCACCCTTACATCAAACCTGTTGATGTGAGTGGCCTGAACTTTTTTAAAAAAAAACACAACACAACACAACACAACACAACACAACACAACACAACACACACACACACACACACACACACACACACACACACACACTGCTGTGATGATCACTGAGTAGAATTTCATTCTCAAACATTAGCCCTTTCTCTGGAAATTCTTCCTGAAGGGTGGCCCCAGAGCTCCCCACTATATGGATGCAACCCACTAAGCATGGCCGTGGCAATGTGCTGTACACTTAAAGGGAATTTATGTTGGAGCAGAGTTCAGTAAACTTGTAATGAAAGGCTAAGGCTGTATGGCTGTGGCCAAGAAGTAACTATAGCTGAGTAGGTATTTGTTCATACAGAATAACTGTTGGAAATGGTTTATCCCATCACAGTTTTAAACATTTGTTCAAGGGCCTTGGTTTTCAGTGCCAACACAATATCAGAATCCCTTGCATTGTGCTATACTGAGACCTGTATGTTACCTAGGTTTTTTGGAAAGGTTTTTCTTTTTCTTTCTTTCTTTCTTTCTTTCTTTCTTTCTTTCTTTCTTTCTTTCTTTCTTTCACTACCTCTTCATATTTAATTTATTGAACACACGTCAAAGGGCAAATGTGGGAATATTTTACTTTTTATTTTACTTTTTATACTTGAAATCTGTGAGCTTTGGGGTAGGGAGGGAGGGAAGGAGGAAGAAGTGGACAATTTAGCTAACTGTTTCGTAAGCTCTTTTGGTTTTTGTAATTTATATAGAATTCAGGAGATAATGACTTTAAAGGGCTATTCTTTATTCCCTATGCAACTCTTTTAAACTGTTGTAGTGTTTGACAAAGTGGGTTTTAAAAAAGAAAAAAAAAGTAAGAAAATTCTACAAAGCAGGAAACATAAAAGGTCTGTTTACACTGGCGTTGCTGACTATCCTACCATGCTCAGCACTTTTAAATATTGTTGTTTATGAAACTGTAGTTTAAAATGCAAGACAAATTATTTATAAAGGACATTCTTTTAATAAATACCTGTTTTGTCTGAAAAAAAATGTTATTGTGTTATATACCTTATTCATGTTGGTTAATTATCTACCATTATGAATAAATGTTAATGATATATTGATAGAATAATACCTTTGAACATGTTTACAAAAACAGATTTTTTCCCCTAAAGGAGGAGGTAGGGGGAAAGATCAGCAAAGAATTGCCTCCTCCTACTGTGAAATTCTCATATTGAAGTAAACTTAAGATTCATTTTTTTCCTAACCAGAATTTAATAACTGTGGTATTGTGTAACTTTAGCACCACAGTAAAGTTCACATTTCCTATGGTACTCTGCATATATAATACTCTGTATATATTTAAATGGTGTGGATTTGGATTTGTTACAGTGTTTGAGACACAACTATCTCTGGTGCACACAACTAGGTACTATGTAATTAGAGCATATTGCATGTACGTATACAACTTTCAGTATTTAGACTTCATATTTTTGTTGTTACTATTTGATATGGTGACCTGTTAACCAGAAGCTATCTTTATAAGATACTTTTAATATGGCAAATGAGTTGTCAGTTTGACAGAATATTTTTTCTGAGGAAACTTAATTAAAATCTTGCTATAAGGACCTGAAACTTCAACCCTGAATCCTAGCATAGATTTCCTTTTATCTGTATTTTGGGGAGAAAATTTAGTATTTGAACACTTTCAGAAATGTGATAATGTGTTATTGCAATGAGACTATGTTAACCTTTTAGTCTAAATACTTTTTCTTAAGGGATTTGTAGACTTACCAGACAACACTCTATATTTGGCATGTTCTTCCTAGGAATGAATGCACGTATGCCTTGTGCCACTGGAAAAAAAGAAAAGAAAAAAAGAAAAACAGTAAAATATGTCAGACTTCAAGGACTACAAAAACCACCAGATTTGTTTCATGCCAGTTTTGCATTCTTCAAACAAATCTGTTTTCTGAAATTGTTATTGGTAGTATTTTGGACCATAACGTAATCTCATTGCTCTCAGTATATTTGCAAAATGTGAGCAGCCAATGATTAAACTTCTTAAAAGATTATTGTGCATGCAAACAAATGCCTAGCTATACAGTACTTATTACATACAAGCTAAAATAGATTAAAGATGTATTTACTTCTTGTTTTTGGATTTTCATGAGACCACACATATACAAAATAAATATAACTCTTTTGATTTGAAAAAAACATCAATGCGACTAAATTATATCTACATTTTGGTCATGCAAGTACCCACACATTTCTGCTATGAATTTGAGTGTCATAGGTGCTGCAAGTTCCATGGTTCTTTTTGCTGAATGTCCACTGAAGATGAGCTAAGCCAAGGGCAGGGAACTTCTTGCAGCCAAAGGGCCCGATCCTATTCCCAAGTGCAGTAGTTGTTTGGGGGGTGAGGAGGATACAAATTGTGAGTATTGGCAAAGGCAGACGTACTGGGTCAAAAATGACCATCCATTTTAACTCAAACTTCTTACTGTTAGTAAATAAAGTTTTGAAATAACAGCAGGGACAACCTGGTGTCATGAGGGGCCTGGTCATTTGAGAGACCTAAATGAGAAATCATCTGATCTATTCATAGAAATGAAGTTTGAGGTTGCGCAATCACTTTATTGGATCACTACATTCTGACAAATATGATGCCTTTCAAGCTCTGCAGAGCTCTTCATCAGGCAAAGAGGGCGTAAGACACAAAGTTATGGCAAACAGTTTACAATTTGAGGTGGAGGGTAAGGTCCTTAGTTCATGAAGCCACACAGATGGCAACATAAAATGGAACTCTGTAAGGCAAAAGTGACAAAGGCCATATATCAGCAAAATATGCAAAGGTTGTGAACTTTTTTCCTGGTTTTTCCTTCTGCTTCAAGCCTACAAAAGAGATCTGTGTGGCCTCACCTAAGGACACCAAACCAACCTTTTGTCTGCGGAACCACAAATTTATACCTTTGTTACCTCTATCACTTGTGGAATCTGCACTCAGATAGGCAGTCTGGATTCGGGAGCCTTGAATGTCACAACTGCCCCAAATGTTAAAAGCCACACTTTCATAGCACCTTTTTGTAATTAAGAGCTGATGAGAACTCAAAAACGTGCATTATTTGTCAGCTTTAGCAAGGGCGGGTGGGCTCCATAACATCGGGACAGGCTGGTGTCCTGAGAGACATGGCCAGTTGAGGGAACCAAAGGGGCCAGGCTAGGGACCCCACTTGCCCTCATGCCTGCTCTAAAAACTGTGGCTTTAGAGATAAATGGAACCCTCATACATATTTGAGATCACAGGACTGGATCCAAAGCTGCCTCTACTCACTAGAACCTCCCCAACATTTTGTTTATTCTCTTTCTGTGCAGCAGCTTCCCTCCCCCTTCTGCTATTTGGGATGGCCCCCAACTTGTAGAAAGTCTTTTAGTGAATACAGTTTTGTTCATCGGTGTGATTTCATTTACCATTACAGTTTGATGCAGCAGGGGGAAAAGCTGCCTCAACAGAAGTATAGCATCCAGATCAAGGGAGATAATTTCACCACTTTGTTCTGCATTGGTCAGACCTTGTCTAAATACTGTGCCCAGCTCAGGACACCACTGTTTAAGAAAGATAATGAGAAGTTGGAATATGGCTGGTGGAGGGTGACCAGGATGATGAAGAGCTTGGAAACCAAGCCATACAAAGAGCAGTTGAGAGGGCTGGGTATGTTTAATCTGATTAAGTGAAGACTGAGAGGTGATATGATAGCCATCTTCAAACATTTGAAGGGCAGTCACATGGAAGATGAAGAAGTAGCCTTGTTAGTTTGTGCAGGCATAGCCGTGTTACTCTGTGCAAGCCAAAGAAACAAAACAAAACAAAAAACACAGAGGAAAAAAGCATGTGGCACCTTAAAGACTAACCATTATATTTTAATGTAAGCTTTCATGGACACATTCACTCTATCAGACATTAAGAAATAGAATGAAATGTAGAACCACTCCTCACTTAGCAACTGAGTTCTGTTCTTGGGACTTGGTCATTAACCAAATTGGTCTATAAGCAAGGAGTTTGAAAGCAGAAGCAGGAAGGAGTTGAAGCCAGAGCTAGCCGGAAGACCAGCAGCAGCAGCAGCATTGCTGCCAGCTTGGTGAAAAAAACAAAAGCAAATACGTAAAAGCTTCCACGTTGCTCCTGGCGGGTTTGAGAGCCATCAAGAGCCACAAGGAGCAAGAGGTCCACTTTCTGGATGGTTTGGTCCAAAAGCAAATAAAAGCTTCCACGTTGCTCCTGGCTGGTTTGAGAGCCATCAAGAGCCACAAGGGGCAAGAGGTCCACTTTCTGGATGGTTTGGTGGCAGAATGAGGCAAAGACTGAGAAAGGGGATTCCTTCCACTGGAGAACGTGTTGCAAGTCCAAACAGTCATTATAGAAGTACTGTAGGTCATTAAGTGAGGAGTGGCCGTATATGAAACATCAGGAAAAACATCAGTTTCACATTCTAAATGTTCATTGGTCACATGCAGTAAATAGGCCTAATAACTGCATGTAACCTATGAACATTTACAATGTGAAACTGATGTTTTTCCTGATATTTCATATACATTTCATTCTGTCTCTAAATGTCTGATGAAGTGGACGTGTCCACAAAAGCTTACATTAAAGTATAATGGTTAGTCTTAAGGTGCCACATGTTTTTGTCTTTTTTTTTTTTTTTTGGTCTTGTTTCATTTTGTTTCTTTTGATTTTGCTTGCACAGAATAACACTGCTATAGAAGATAGCATGTTTTCTGCAGCTCCAGAGGGTGCAACCAGAAGTAATGAATTTTAATTTCAGGAATGTAGATTTCCAGAACATTAGGACTCAACATTAGGAACAAGTGAGAGTGGTTCAGCCCTGGAATGGACTATCCTGTAGTGAGGTGGATTCTGCAATATTTATTCATTTATTTATTTAACTTATATGCCGCCCACTCTACCCAATGGTCTCTGGGCTGCTTATAAGTTTTGGAGATATTCCTACAGAGGCTGGATGAACACCTGTCGCACCTTTCATTGTAGGCATCCTTCAGTCTCGAGAGACTATGGTAACGTGCTCTGTATGGAGGACTTAGAACAGCGTCTACTGTGGCTGAGAAGGCCAATAAAAGAGTGACAATTCCTTCCACACTGAAGACAAATACAATCTGTCCCCTGTCCAGCTCCCTGATTTTGCTGGTTTCAGGACAGCCTCTTTGCCTAGGCCTGCTGGACAAGGGTCTATTCAAATTGGAAGAGGCTGTGATGCACCGCCTGCCTCCAGGCTGAACGCTCAGATGTCAGGGTTTCCCATCTGTTGAGGTCCATTCCTAAGGCCTTCAGATCCTGCTTGCAGCTGTGGTCTCCCTCTGGGGTGCTTTCCCTGCACTAATTCTGCATACAGGAGATCTTTTGGAATCTGACCGTCAGCCATTCTCACAACATGCCCAGGCCCACGCAGATGTTGCTGTTTCAGTAATGTATACATGCTAAAAATTCCAGCTCGATGTAGGACTACTCTGTTTGGAACTTTGTCCTGCCAGGTGATACCAAAAATGTGTCGGAACATATTCAGACTCAGAGGCAAAGAACAAAAAAGTGTCTTCTAGACTGTCGGCCCCCCCCACTTGTGGAACAACCTGCCCATTGAGATCCACCTCGCACCCTGGCTGGATGGGTTCAAACAAGCATTGAAGACTTGGCCCTTCCGCCGGGCTTTCCCCGAGTATTAGGTTTTTGAGATCTCAGCCTTCCTTTTGCCATCATTTTTGCCATTCTTTTCATCATCCTTTTTACCACCTTCATTGCCATCTGTTTTAATTTATCAGGATGGTTATTATATTTGTTGAATGTATGTATTTCATGATGGCTATTATATTTGTTGAATGTATGTATTATTTTTTTTCCTGTTTGATATTGTACTGTTTATCTTGTTGTTAGCTGTCCAGAGCGGCCTGATTGCCAGATGGTGCAGGGTATAAATCCAATAAATAAATAAATGTGTGCTGTCCTCTGAAGATGTCGGCTACAGAGACTGGCAAAACGTTAGGAAGAACAACCTTCAGAACATGGCCAAAGAGCCCAAAAAACCCACAACAACCAAATAAATAAATGGTTCATGAGTTGTTGGAGCTCTTCAGCAGAATGAGCAACAACACCTTTATAAGTCTTTGATGTGACAACAGCTTTCGTTGTCCATCTGGAAATCACTAACCACCACAGAGTCACATTGCTCCGGCTTTTCCCCATGACGGTGGAACAAAGGCCAGCAGGATCCCGGGAGACCGGCTTGACGCCGCGACAAGACAGCAGCAGGAGGACGGAGCTCTGTCCCCTGGGCTGAATTCTGACCTGTTTGGGACACCCCAGGGTGTCGAAACCACCCCGAAGAGGTGGTGAACTGGGGGGGAAGCCTGTTGATCACGGGGGGGTGGGGGTCATCCCTGTTTGATCCAGTAAACTCCCTAATCAGCCAACGGGCAGAAACAAGCAGCTAGGAAGCTTGCTTGCAAGTCGTCGGCAGCCGGCAATAAGAGAAGCAACAATCAGCTATACAACATCAGTTTACCATTGGGTGAGATATATTTTTACAACTAATTGCTTATGATTACCCCTGAAGAAGATAATTCCTATATAAATAAAAAGGAATCTCCTATCAATCTCATCAATCATAGAGTGGCAGAAAATCTGGAGAAAGGGATCGTTGATGCAAAGAAAATAATTTAAAGATTAATGGGACATTAACTACTAATTTAATTACATTTAAAATATACTTTAAGAAGATTATAATTTGGCATTATAAATCTTAAGAAATTTTCTCGTAAGTTGTTACGGGTTAAGTCTGGAGTTATCTTATGTTTTGACTACTTGAAGTCTTTTGGCATAATGCCCAGAACAGTGACCTTGAGCACTCTGCTGCTGTTTAAAGATTGGAAACCTGTTATTTATTTCTTTTTGATTTTTTCATGCCTGGCTGGAACATAGACAAATTAACCCTAAAGCGGATCTTTTTAAACTGTACTTTGGGGATTAGTATATTGGGCCAAAGTTAATTTTTTAGAACAACATCCAGGGACTTGGAATTCCAGTTTTGGCCGATGCAGAATTGTGGGAACTAGGCTACCAGGACATGGATACAAACACTGAATTGGACTGTGATATTTGGGGGTTTTGAACCTCGGTTCAGGCCTATTTGGCCAAAGTAGATGCTCTGAAACTGCCCCAGGAGCTGGAAGTGTTTGTGTTTGACTAACTGGCGTAAACCTGTGGGAATTAGGCCATCAGACCGTGGATACAACCATTGCATTGTACCTTGATACTTTGCAGGTTTAAATCTTGGTTCAGTCCTATTTAGCCAAAGTGGACTCTTTGGACTGACTCTGAAGACCTGGAATATCTGTTTAGCTGGCATCAACTTGGCAGGGATCAGTTAGGACACAGATAGAATCATTGAACTGGACTGTGAGACTTGAGAGCTTCGAATCTTGGCTTAAGCTCTTGGGCAGCTGGAAGAGAATGGCACAACAAGGACAATTTTGGAATGAAACAAAATCTACCCTTCAAACAATACTAGAAATAGTGAGATCCCACTATCAAGAAGCAAAATTATTCAATGAACATCTGAAGAATTATAGTCAACAAGAGACAGGGAATAATGAAGAAGGAAATGAGACTATGTCGGATGATGTATGCCAATCCAAAGAGGAGCTGGAGGAAATTAATGGGGAAAACCTAAGAGAAACAACTTCAATCTTGGATCCAAGGAGAGTATTAAGGGAAGACAAGGGGAGAAAATCAGCAAAATTAATTTTTAAAAGCCTTGAAGATTTATTGAAACTAGACCAAGTGCATAAAGATCTAGTGAAGATAAATCAGATGCACAAAATGGTTTCAGAGGGCATGAAAGATGGCAGAATGCTTAGAGAGACAGAAACAAAAAGTGAAAAAAGAGAAATAAGAGAGGGAATTACTTAGAAAGATGAAAAAGGGAAAAATAGGAAGGGGCCCCTTAATGTTGAAAAACATGTATATATTTAACTTCGGGAATTGTAAAGGAGCATATCCTTTATATTAAAAAGGAGAATTAAATTGAAATAAGGGAGCTCTTACCAGGGTAAAGATATAATATGGTGGCTTTTCTTTTTAGGTAAATTAAACTAGATATAAGGTTGGGGCTCTGGAACTTTTATTAAGAATGTTATTAGAGGATCTTGAGAATATTGTACACTATGAAAGTAATATTATGATAGTCCCCATATTATATACTAAAATACGTACATGAACGGTTTGAATGTTTGAAAGATGTCTGGAATTTGGGGGGACAACCGGGAAGACACTGAGATGTAAAAATCAAACAATTGTAAGCAAATCATGTAACACGATGTTTCACAAGCACAAATCAAATGCAAATAGAGTGAAAAACTAATAAAATGTTTTTTTTTTAAAAATCAACCAATACATCATCTTGCTTCACCTGGATGCTGTAAGGGTACCTTCAAAAGGAAGGAGCGACCTCAGTATTAATAACGTGTCTTGACATGGACCCACCAGTAGGGGGCGCTTTGCGAGCGAGGAAAAAGGGGGACATCCATTTCAACCGCCTCTCGTCAACCGAATCGCTTCGGCTTTTCCGGGGGGGGGGGAGGAAGAAACTAAACGGAAGGGAACTAATGGTATGAGATCAAGAAGACACCGACTGAACAACCGTTCCTTATTGAATATGCAAGAGAGCCCGTGCCAAAAAATAAAACACGGCAAAGAAAAGGCGGACACCGTAGATGCAAGTTCCGCGACAGGGTAACCCAAATGTTGTTGGACTACAACTCCCGGAAGCCTTCGCCACCAGCTGTGCTGGCCAGGATTTCTGGGAGTTGTAGTCCAAAAAAACACCGGGATACCCAAGTTTGGGAGCCCCTGCTCCATAGGTAGTCTGCCCTTCTGTTCCTCACACAGGAGCCTTCAAATGGTAACCCGAAGTGACGAGTGTCTGTACTTCCCCTCTTTTTTTCTATCTCTATGAGAGCGCGCGCGCAGAGCCCTCGGCGTCTCTGAGGGCTTCAGGAAGAGACTCGCCTCGTGACCGGAAACGGAGAGTCCTTGTCCTTGGTATGCGGTGGCGCCTGGCGCGGGGTCTCTGGCGGCTGCGGGGCGGGAGCGCTTCCTTGGCCCGCCTCTCCGCGGCTGGGCTCCGATGGCCGACCGGGCGCTTGCTCAGCAGCCATCCGGCCCTGGGCAAGCTGTTCGAGATGCCGGCCCTGCAGCGACTTCTAGACCAGCAACAGGAGGGGCCGGGCGGGGCCTCCCCTCAGCTGGCCGCGTGCGCCCGCCTCTTGCGGAAGAAGGAGCAGGAGCTCCGCGACACCGAGCGCTTGGCCCGCGAAGGTGAGGAGGCGGGGGGGTGGGGTGGGCCGAGCGCTCTCTGTTCCCACGTGGCAGCGTCACTCCGGGGTGTGGATGGGCAGCTGGTTCGCTGACACGGGTGGTGGTGGGGGGAGAGGGATTATGGGAATTGACGTCCCAAACAACATGTGAGGGGGCCACCAGTTGCCCATCCGTGACATACCTCAGCAGAACAAGAGCCCTGCTGGATCAGGGCGAGAGGCCTGTCTGGGCCAACATCCTGTGCCACCCAGATGGGACTTGGAAGCCCACCAGTGGAGCGGAAAGGCAGCAGATCTCTCCTGCTCGGCCATTTCTGGGCAACTGCTATTGAGAGGCATGTGGGCTGAAGATCTTCGCTGGATAGCGGCTTTGGTAACATTCTTGATCGCTGAGACTTAAAACATCTGCCTCTGGAGCAAGTTCCTGCATTTCATTTTCTGACAGGCAAATGAGTATCAAATAATAGAGCATCTAGGTGGTAATTGGAGATTTCGTACTTAAATTGTTTGGCCATATAGAAGCTGCGATGCAGTGTTAAATATGTGAAGTGTTGTGCCATCAAGCTTACTAATCCAGACCAAAGACCTGTTACTGGCTTCTGAGCGGCTGAAGAGCACAAGCATATGGGTGATGGGCACAAGAACACGCCAAAAAATAAAATTGGAAACCTAGCTTGTGAATAGAATTCTGGCTGTAAGCCTAAAAACAAAGCCTGCATTATCTGTATGTTTGTATATGCCTAAAATGTTGAGGCACTATAATTTTGATAACAATATATTGTACTGTTCCTAGATGAAAATGAAGATATGCAGAAGCTTGCAGAAGAGGAAGTTGCTTCCTGTCTTGAAGAGATAGCAGAACTAAAAAGACAGGTATGCTGCTTTGAATGATATGTATAGGTACCATTCCTGAAGCACAAGGTATAAATTCAAGCCTAAATATACTTTGGTCCTACCAGCAGACAGAGCAAATTTAAAGCTGCATGCTGCACTTCTCCTTCCCTCACTTCTTGCATATACAATATATCTTATCTTTTATATACTGTATATATAAAAGCTCTACAAAAAAAGCTCTACAGAGAACCATTAAAATTGCCCAGAATATCATCGGGCTCCAGCTACCAACCCTGGATGACATCTTCCCATCCCGCTGTCTGAGGAAGTCACACAGCATCCTGAGAGACTCTTCCCATCCTGCTTATAACTTTTTTGAACTGTTACCGTCTGGCAGAAGATATAGAACAATTAAGAGTCGGACCACACGTTTTCTAAATAGTTTTTATCCTAGAGCTATAATTGCAATTAATAATGAGCTTAAAGACCACCAGTAGTGAATAATTAGTTGGATTGTGTTACTTGGCTTGAGGTGTAGATGTTTGTATTTTTAGTGGGGGTCTTCTAGTGGGTGAGGAGTGTTTGGGGAATGTTATGTGTGTGCATGCGTCTGGTCTCTGGGTGTCTGTGAATTTCGTTGTATGGGTATATGACAAGAAATTATTATTATTATTATTATTATACTCAAGTAAAAGCCTAGTTTTTCAGCATTTTTTTGATGAAAACGCACCCCCTCAGCTTATACTTGAGTCAGTGTCAAAATTACATGTACGCCCCTGCAGTGCGGATGTTCTCCAGACTCCTGGCCCTGCAGTGCGGATGTTCTCCAGACTCCCCTGCTCATCTATGGGTGCTAGCAGCCTCTGTGGGTGGTATGATGACCCAGGTTAAGTACACTGCATTTCCTCTTCCAGGACACTCCCATCCTCCTCCTTCTCAATATTCTATGTGCCCACCTTCCTTCTCCATCTTCTGTCCAACCATCTCATCCTCTGTCATCCCCTTCTCCTCTTGCTTTCACACTTTCCCAACATCAGGGTCTTTTCCAGGGAGTCTTCTCATGAGATAGCCAAAGTATTGGAGCCTCAGCTTCAGGATCTGTCCTTCCAGTGAGCACTTAGGGTTGATTTTCTTCACAATGGATAGGTTTGTTCTCCTTGCAGTCCAGGGGACTCTCAAGAGTCCTCCAGCACCACAATTCAAAAGCATCAATTCTTTGGCGGTCAGCCTTCTTTATGGTCCAGCTCTCACTTCCATACCTCGCTACTGGAAAAAACATAGCTTTGATCACGCGGATCTTTGTCGGCAAGGTGGTGTCTTTGCTTTTTAAGATGCTGTCTAGGTTTGTCATTGCTTTCCTCTCAAGAAGCAGGTGTCTTTTAATTTCATGGCTGCTGTCACCATCTGCAGTGATCATGAAGCCCAAGAAAGTAAAATCTGTCACTGCCTCCATATCTTCCTCTTCTAATTGCCAGGAGGTGTAGTATGTACGCGGATCTTTGTCAGCAAGGTGGTGTCTTTGCTTTTAAAGATGCTGTCTAGGTTTGTCATTGCTTTCCTCTCAAGAAGCAGGTGTCTTTTAATTTCATGGCTGCTGTCACCATCTGCAGTGATCATGAAGCCCAAGAAAGTAAAATCTGTCACTGCCTCCATATCTTCCTCTTCTAATTGCCAGGAGGTGTAGTATGTAAATAAATACATACTTATTCATTTAAAATCCAAAGAAACAAAACAAACCCAAGACAAAAACATGTAGCACCTTAAAGACTATTATATTTCAACATAGGCTTTTGTGGATATGTCTACTTTGTCAGACATATGGAATTTACACTTAATACATTGGTGTGTAAAATGTTCCAACAAAATATGTAATAGGATAAGGTTAACCAAATGGAAGTTTTATTTGGGTAAAAGGCATTCTTTTTATGCATTGCAGATAGTATCACTTTTGATTCCTTTGGAGAAAACTGACGAAAGTGATCTTATCCTGGAAGTGAGTGCTGGTGTTGGAGGGCAAGAAGCCATGCTCTTCACTGCAGAGTTGTTTGACATGTACCAACGCTATGCTGCATATAAAAACTGGCATTTTGAAGTCCTGGAATGTGCTCCCACTGATATAGGTAATACTAATGGCCCTCTTTTTTCAGCATTTTAAGAGATAGGGAAGAAACATAAAGTGTATTATGCTTGCTGGAAATATCTTTAGACCTTTTCCCTTGTGAGAAGAGTGGATGTTGCACACAATGTTATGTCCGTGTTTAAACAGCGGTGTACAAATATCTAGGCAACCTAGTCCAGTCCGGTTTTTAAAATATGTATATACTGCATTTTTGAAAATCTGCAAAAGAACATACATCCTACAACAGCTTCAGATTAATTAGATGCATTCTACATTATTCACCAGTAAACAGTTGGTCAACTGCTTTGTAGTTAGGTTCCTTTTCCACTTCCCTGTTGGGACTACTTGATCAGATTAATCTATTTTTTTTACATTATTTACAAAGTCATATAAAATTTTATGCTTTAATTATACCAACCATTGGTTACAGATACACATTCTATTGGACCTTAAAGGGCAGGAAGTTTTATTTTTTTATTTGACATAGGCTTTTGTGAACTGCAATCCACTTCACCAGTGGTTGTTGCACTTTATCCGGCCTGATGGGTATGCCATGCCTTTGGCTATATAGCCACCCTAATTCAGTATCTAACTTATTACTGGCAAGAATCCAATTGGAGATTTATCCCAATACACATGTAATTACATAAATTGTGGTGGTAAATTGTGTCTAATAAGCTGCCATTCATATTCGCAGCCATTTACCAAGTTAGCTCCCACAAGGATTTAGGTCAGTATATGTAATTGTTTATGTTCAAAAACAAATTGAGAAGCTTTAAAACATATTTCTTTAAAGAGTTTATAGTCTGGCCTATATTACCGGATCATAGGGCAGATTACAGAGCTGTATAAAATAATTTTAAAATGTAAAACATTTAAAACAATTTAAAATTAAAAGTTTAAAACACTGCTTTAGCATTAAAACCATTATAAAACATATGCAGACCACAATTCTCAATCCCAAAAGGCTCTGATAAATATGTTTTAACTTGACATCAGTGTTGGCACCAGTTGAGCCTTTCAGCCTTCCATAGTTGAGATGTTATGACTGAGGAAGTCTAAGCAATCAGAATAAAAACACTTTAAGGAATAATCTCTATTGGATTGTACTATGTGGCTGCTTTTATGGAGGTATGTTTTTATGTTTAAGGTGGTTTGAGACTTGCATCTGCCAGTATAGGAGGCTGTGAAGCATTCAGACAAATGAAGTATGAAGGAGGAGTACATCGTGTACAGCGAGTGCCTACAACAGAGAGGCAAGGTCGCATGCATACCAGCACAGTGACTGTAGCAATATTGCCACAGCCAAAAGAGGTATCATGTTGTTAACTAAAAGTACTGTACCTGATCAAGCATTCACATTCAGATACACTCTTTTTGTACTCTGCACATGTTTGGAAAAGGAGGACTAATTGTTTCAGAAGACAGTGGTATAAAATATATAATATCTCACAGTACAAATCTATGAACTAGCTGGTTGAAATAAGTATGAATTTTAACTTAACTGTTCTTAGTTTACAAAGACTAAGCAAACAGTGCCTCTTTCCCATTGCAGATAAATCTGAGAATTAATCCTAAAGATTTACGTATTGAAACTAAACGAGCCAGTGGAGCTGGTGGTCAGCATGTAAATAAAACTGACAGTGCAGTACGAATAGTCCATATTCCCACAGGTAGGTTATACATTATTTCAGTATTAGTGAAATGTTTTCTTAGAGATTGTTGCTTTGTTATACCTGAAAACTAAGTTGAGCATTGCTTAATAATAGTAAACATGATTTCTATATAGAAGGTCTCAGCTGTCAGTAATATGCTCATGTGAACAATCACCTCTGCACTGTGAAATGCTGAAGAACTTCTTTTAGTCCCAAGGCCATTTTGTGGCCCTATAGAGTTCCTCCACCATTGCTGATACACACTTTTGCACAAAATATTTTGCTTTAATTACTTTATTATTGTTATCACTATTATATTTTCCAACCATTTTTCATTGGTAAGGGACATTATGGGGCACCAAGGCTCACAAGAGTTTCCCATCCTTAGAATAAACAGAAGTATGGGCTGATAAAGCCAGCGAAACTGGCTGATATGGGCCCCTCTTTTCTTTGCCACCTTTGGATAGGCTTGCAGTGTCTGGAGGCTCTGTGGCAGGTGTCACAGAGAACACTCAAGTCAGAAGTAAGTGGGAGAAAATATGGAAGACGTTTTCCACCCAACCCCACACCAGGGTCTCTTTTCCACATCAGCTGTTCAGATGGATAATTTTAGGAACAATTATGACTTCTGTGAAACATTTGTTGTTAAGTCGTGTCCAACTCTTTGTGAGCCCATGAACCAGAGCACACCAGGCCCTCCTGTCTTCCACTGCCTCCCGGAGTTGGGTCAAATTCAAGTTGGTAGCCATCTCGTCCTCTGTTGTCCCCTTCTCCTCTTGCCCTCACACTTTCCCAACATCAGGGTCTTTTCCAGGGAGTCTTCTCATGAAACATTGTTTCTGTGAAACATTGCCCCTTGTGAAATTACTGAAATCCTTTATAACATAAGGCTTTGCTCACTTAAATGTGTAGCATGAATATTCTTTTGTAAGAGGAATGCTGCATTGGAGAAAGATAATTCCCATGTGTACTTTAGATTATGACACTCATATTTCTATGTCTAAAACTAACAGTACTGTCTTATACATGTCTATATAGATGCAAGTAACATTGAGCCAGATACGATTTATTCATGGTAATTGTTGCAATATCGCAGCCTTAGCCATTTATACTGATAACTGTGTAGTCCTATGCTGGGGAATAAATTCCATAAGAAGTATTCCAATTTAAATTTGGGTTACATCTTTGCCAAGTGTGCTTGTTAGAGCTGAGTTGGGTTTTGTCCATTTCTTAATTTAATTTGCTTGGAACTTTTATCCACATTTCGCCATGAACTATAGGAGTGGTATCTGAATGTCAACAAGAAAGATCGCAGATTAGAAATAAAGAAATGGCTATGCAAGTCCTTCGTGCTAGATTATATAATCTCGAACTTGAAGAGGAATCGTTGAAGAGAGAAACTTCCAGAAAGATTCAGGTAATATTTCGTTTATTCTTCATCCATATATTCTTTGTGTCTGTAGGCTGAGCTTTATTTTTCATATAATAACTGTTTGCAGCCTACTTAGTGAGAAGATATGAGCCAATGATGGTAATTGGATGGAAGAATGATGGAGATGTAATGAAGTGATACACAGGGTGAAACTTGGAATCAGTCTAGTGCAGTAGTTAAGAGTGCAGGGCTAGGACTTGGGGACCTATGTTCAGTTTCCCAGTTATTCATGAAACTGAGTCAGTGAACTTGGTTCAACCACAGTCTATCAGCATGACCTATTTCACAGATATATTATGAGAATAAAGTGGGGGAAAGCAGCATAAATGCTGCCTTAAGCTCATCAGAGGAAAGGTGGTATATATATCTATGTAACAAAGAGGTAAATAATATTAATAGGAATTGTGAAGGAGACAAAAGTTTTTTTTTGGGGAAAGATGCTATTCAATTGATATGCTGGTTCTGTAATTTTGGGGAGTATTTTCTTTGGAGACACTTGAAACTGTTGATCTCTATATGCACAAAACTCTGCTAATCTCCAAGGAACAAGAGGATGCTGGTTTCTCTCCATATTTTACCAAAGGTGCTTATCAGTGCCAGTGGACCTTCATTTGTGTTTCCTTTCCCAATAGTTAGATTAGTTGAGAGAAATCACAGCTCAGTTTGTTAGATGGAGAAATACTGTAAAAAGTGCAACACGTGTTCCTGTAAAAAGTGCAACACATGTTCTATATTTATAGCATGTGCTGCCTTTTAACAATAAATGTAATGAATAGGCTTATAAACTTTTCCAGAGATGGAAAAAAGGAGTTGGCTTAAACCAGATATCCCAACTGTCTGTGTCCTTTAGTTGAACATTATAGACTGAAAGCTCTTCAGGACAGGAGCTTGTTTTCTGGGTTTTGTGTATTCATTTCATAAAGGGATATAAATGCAGGAACAGGTGATATTTTTATTGGACCAGTAAAGAAATAAAACAAAAAACAAACAGCAAGCTTTCTATGATGTACGTAATTGAAAGCTCACTGATTGTTTTTTGTTTGTTTGTTTTATTTCTTTAGTGGTCCAATAAAGGTATCATCTGTTTCTACGTTTGTATTGTTTGGGGGACCACTTAGCCTTTTCCTGATTTTTTTCATAAAGGAATATGTATGGTGAGGTTATGTATCCTTTGTTTCTGAAAAGTAATATATAATTCTCCTAGGGAAGGAGAAATTATATTGCTTGAATTGTTGACCTTGCATATTCATATACAGTATGTGAATAATGTGCTGATCAGATTTCTCTTGTTCTGACTAGATTGGGACCAAAGGAAGGTCTGAGAAAATCAGAACTTATAACTTCCTCCGGGATCAAGTTACTGACCACAGAATAAGCAGATCAGTACACCGCATTGAAAAATTTATGTTGGGAGAAGAACTACTAGATGAAATGATACAGGCACTCAGAGAATATGCTAATTATGAGGCTTTAATGGAAGTTATTTCAGCAAATGATCCAGCAAAGCAGACGTGATCTTGTGAATCTCTGGTATGGAAATGCATCCAAACTGGTTTGTGGCAAGCACATTTGCCTGGACTCACCTGTTTTAAAGTGTCTCTGATTATGAAAACGGGCCAAGTTTGCATATTTCTAAACAGCTGTTTAGAAGATGACGTGATGCTTTGGGAGAGACACTGCTGCTTCAGGTAGAGAATATTAAGCAATCTTTCACTTAGACTTGATTCTAGCTTTGTTTCCATTCTTGAGTCAGCAGTGGTGCAGAAATACAGAGCGGACCTTATTCTTATTCATTATTAAAAACAGAAATTTAATATAAACTTTGCCATGTGTAAATGAAAGTGTTCCTTTAATCCACAGTAGACTGAAAGATCGTCTTGGCAGAAGTTGGTGACAGGGTTTAATGTATCCATTTAATGTCCAAAGTGGGTTTATCCATTTCTATTTCTCACCATGCTCCCTGCAGCTACCTCCCACAGGGTCCGAAGGGTCTTCAGCCTCAAAAAACAGAAGTTTAAAGAGCACAGTAGAAAGGGGAGATCAGTAATAATCACCTCCCATGAACACACAATTATGCCAATAAGAATGCTGCCAGTGGGAGCAAAGCCCAGATTAATCATACTCAGTGCTGTAACAAAGCTAAAGTGTGTTATCACACTTGAAAATTTAATCTAAAACTTTGAATTTTATTTTTGTTTTCTATGGGTTTTCCAAGTTAAGTATGTTTATAAATATAATTTCTGTGTTGTAAAACTTCCATTTATAACACCTCTGTTCATAGTATTTGGGGTGTTTGCCTCTTCATGTTATGTTAAAAGTAGTTTATTTCAGGGTCTAAACCTATTTGTGTAGAATCCTGGCATAGTTATGTCCCAGTGTACCAAGCTAATGAGCAAAGTGAACTGTGTTGAATAGCTCATTATCTGAACAGTTTTTCATGCTTCAGAGTGTACTGCTTTTCCTGATGGGTTACTCTAGCTTTTTTTTCTTTCATTCCCCTATCTGCTTGTCCAATGAAAATTATACTCATTAGCTGAAATCCTAATGCTTTGTTACACAGACAGAAGGTAAATAGTGTAACATTGACTTGCATCTAGCAAATACCACATCATTGCTGTGATTTTTGAATACACATTTGAGAATCCCATTAAATGGTATTGTTTTGCTAACTTTTATTTGCATTTGCCAGTTGAAAACCTGTATGCTACCAAAATACTGTTAGCATAATCATCCAGTCAAATTATCTTTTATCAGAACAGAAAATGAATCAAACATTACATTTGTACATTGTATTTTTCAACACAGTCAGCAGTGTGATTCCTGTCCTGTTTCCAGTTGCATATATCTCATTTCCATAAATTATGTAGAGATTGAATGTAGACTTTTTGTTGCCAGATTCTAAACAAATTGTGCTTATATTTTAGCTACACACTGGCAACCAGAATCCTACTGGATTTGCGCAGTGTAAACTCAAAATTGTATAACTGGTGCATGCAGTCATTCCAGCTGTTTGCATTCAGGAATATCCAGGTCACCCTCTCCAATGCATGCACAGGTACTGAACAACCAGAAACGTGTGAAAAGTCTTCTTTACATATTTAATATTTTGGACTCTGGCCAGTGTCTCTCCTAAGTTTAAAACTTGGACATCAGTTGCATGTTCAAAGGTAAATGCCTATTAAGAATCCTGAAGTAGAGTAAAATGTCTTAAAATTAAAGCTTTACATAAGCAAGTTCTCAAAATGACAAATTCAGGTCCTAGGAGACCAAAACAGAAAGATTAAAAATGTAGCTGTGGTCATGAACTACATTGGGGGTTCTGGTTAGCCACTATTTGAATGCTGACTTCATGAGCTTTCAGTTTGTTCTAGCACTATTCTTTGCATCTCTTAGTTAAACATTTTAGAAGTACAGAGAAAAACTATACTGTCAGTATGATAGCTTGAGCTATTTTTATAGCATTGTGTACTGTATATATAGCACCTTGGACAATGGGTATGGCAGCCTGTGTAGTCATGGGCAAGCTGCACAGTTGCAGAATGCCCTCAGAAGAGAAGGGTAAACCACTTCTGCATATTCTCTACCTGGAAAACCCTGAAAAGAGTCACCATAAATCAACTGACTTGACAGCATGCAATTATTATTACAGTATTTTGTTATCTGTGGCAACATTTCATGATAGCTAAGCCAAAGTCTGGGAAGACAGGTTCTTAAAAAAATAAAGTGACACAAGGCTTGTTTTTTGTTTGTTTGTTTTTAAATTCAGGCTGAAATGTCTGCCTGCTTGGAAATGGTAAACACTATTTCAAGTTTGAGGTTAATTGTGCCTTGTAGTGTGAACAAAATATTATTGCAAAAGTTTGTCTGATTATACTGTTTTAACTTAATAAATATATTTTGCATAAGGCCCCAGGAAGGACTGATATTTTGTGTAAGTTTTGATGGAAATGCTCAAGATGTATAAAATGGCATCATTTAACCAGTATTGATTTAGAAGTGCAGGGAAGTCTGTATCTCTGGAAGGCTGTTGAGTTCAGTGGGACTTCTCCCAGATAGTCATGGAATTACAATCTAGACCTAAAAGAGATTCCATCAAAATAGACTTTGAACATTTGACCTGAAAATAAAACACTACCTAAGTGCATACCACATTTATTCAGAAAGCCCTCCTGATTTCATATATAGGAGGTTGGGAGCACAGGTAAGGGTATCTGCAGTAATAATAGGAGTGGGGGAGCAAAATGTATTATGGATTGCTGACCCGACAATAGTGTTTACTGTCAGGTCAAATACTGTGTGTATTTAGGATGGCGGGGTGAGGAAAGAGATGTTCCTCTTCTGTGCGAACATGTGAGCGCTGGCGCTTGGTTTTCAGACATTATGGATGTTACAGCCTTAGTTTTAAGCTCCAACCCACAACGTAAACGGGCAATAAGTTTCAAGTCAGGTATCTCTTTTCAGCAAGGCTTGAATAAAAGTGAGAAATTTTATTTCCCCGTTTTGATCGAGCTGGGGAGCGGGGTGGAAATGCGTTTTTGTCTCCTGTCCCGGGTGGGGTGGTCACTCGGTCAGCCGTAAAGCCCAACTTTCCCTTCCCCGGTAGCCTGAGAAAAGGCGCCAGGAAGCCTAGAAAGCGAAGAGGAGGCAGACAGCGCTCTCCTCACTCATCTCCTGCCCCGCGTCCTAGCCGCTCGCTCTCCAATGCCTAAGGTGGGCGCGAGACGACCGAGGTCCCTGGCCAATAGAATGGTGAGGGTCAAAGAGAGCGCGAGCTTCCTCGCCTTCCTGGGCAAGCGCCTCAGCCTCTCCCGCGTTCGGATGACAGGCGAGCCCCGCGCGCGCGGGCGCGCCCGGCTAATGACATGTTTGCCCCTCCCATATTTGCTCGAGCCCTCGGCTTTAAATCTCTCAGCCGACGAGGGCAGCAGGCAAGGCAGGGTGGGAAGAAACGGAAACCCCACCTCCTGGCAGCCCAGCATTGGCCGCCGCCTCTCGCTTCTTCTTTATTGGTCGCCGGGTTCCACCAGCTCCTTCTAATTGGCTCGCCCGCTTTTGGATACCAGATTCAAATGTTTTCAGAAGGGGACGGGGAAAAAAGGAGTCCGCCTAAAGCAGGCAGAGGCTTGAGCGCCCGCCGAGATAAGAGAGAGGGACCCACGTTAGACCCACGTAAGGAGAACGGGGGAGCTAAAAAAAAGAGAAAGAAGTAGCGCCCGGCAGCCACGCTTTACAGGTACCGATGCTTGGTTAAGGGAGAAGTCGGGAAAGGGAAAGGAGGGCAGCACAGGAACCGCACGCCTTCCTCCTGTTTGCCCTGTCGAGGGGTGGTGGTGGCTGGGATTGGGGGCGGTGGCGGTCTGGATTTCTCCCCCAAATCAGCCCTGTGAGGAGTGAGCGGGTCCTGTGGGGAAAGTGATCTTCCTCCCAATATCAAGAAGGGAGTGTGGGGGAGGAGGTTTAAAGGAGCCGAAGAGTGGAAAGAGCTGGCGCTGCTGGGAGCCTGTCCCGCCGGCGGGAGAAACCTCGGGGTTCTCCCGCGCAATGACCAGGAGTGTATCGGGAGCGGTGGGGAAGGGGTCGGGGTCTAACAGTGAATTTTTCTCCGACCTCTCAAAATTCTAGGAGGATTCAGATTTTCAGAAGAATATCTTCCCACCATTCCAGCTCCCTCTGAAAGAAAAAACCCAGCCATTTCTCCCTCCCACCCGCTTCTCCTATAATGCGGTTGTATAGAACACGCGTGGTGGGGAGTGACCTTCGTAAAAGTTCACGCTTGTCCCGTCCCCCCCGCTCCCTTTTCTTTGACTCTTACCCTTCTCCGTTCCCGGGGGGGTTGGTGGCCACCAGCGCCTTGAGGACCCCCATCTTGTGAACGGCCGCGGGCGAGTTCATGGCTGCCTCCCTTCTTGAAGGCCAAGAGGGGCGCCAGGTTGGGGAGTGGCCGTGCGGGGGTTGGGGGGCCTTTTGAGTACAGGATTCGGGTCCCATGAGGCTGTTGCCCCCCCCCCTGCAATTCATCGCTGACCCAGAGAAACTGGCTATTGTGTGAATGGCGTGGCCTCCTTCCACAGAAGTAAGCGCGGGCTCCTTTTTGGCGCACTCGCTGCTCGTCTCTCCCGCCCTCCTTGAGGGAAAGGGCCTTTTTTTCCCTTCCCCAGTCAAGCAAGGAGGTCACCGAGGCAGGGCGGCGGAGCCCACCGGGCCCAGGAAAGGCGGGAGGCGGGAATAAAGAGGGTCCCCTTTTCTGAGGCGATGGTGCCACGAGCAGAACTGCCTGTGCTCCCAAGCCAGGGAAGGGCGGGCGTCCCCCCACCAGCACCCCACACTACGTTTGGCTCAGACCCTGAGAGCTTCTAATCGGATCCACGGGGATGGTTCAAGTGTGGACAATACCCCCAGGATTACAAAATAGGGTGTAACTATAATGCTGCCTACATGTTTAGCCCAGGAATCTGTGATCCCTATCAAAATATATCTGTAACCTAACTCTTCCCCCACCTCACCCCCTTTAACACCCTCATTTGACAGGGAGAAACTTTGGGCTGTCACTGTTTCACAGTTAAGAGTCAAGAACCCCTTTCCCATCCACTTCATAGACACAGTAGATCTCCATGTGGTTTCTGCCCAGCCGTTTTTAGAGAAGCTTCCTCCTTGGGCCACGCTTGCTACTCAGGCTGATCTCAACAGTGTGAGGTCTTGCTATTTCGAAGTATCTCTTGCCGCCCAGCAAATATACCACAGCCCATCTCTTTCCCTTTATGCTGCATGTTGCATATTCTTAATCCAGCTTCAAATAATGACTTAATTCATGGTTCATTGTAGTGACTTAAGAAAAGCATCATAGTATAGGTAACAATACCTTCCCATTGACTTACATTCTTGGGACAAAGAGCACACGAATCTGTCTTGGAAGATGTGACAACCTCTGGAGCCAATTTGGGGGAAGGAGAGGCAGAGAACATCCATTGCAGGGACAGACATCTATTTGCATGACATTACATTTTGCCCAGCGTAATTATTGGGAGACACATTGTATAGTCTTGGAAGCTTATGCCTGCCACTGCAGGTTCCATTGGAGAATAAGTATGCCTTGGAGAAAGGCTATTTCACCTTTCATAGCAGGATTCATGAATGGCAATAAAACACAAAAGTAACTCTTGGAAGAGTGGGACAGTTTCCTGCAGTGGGTGAAATCCAGTTTGTAGTGTAAACCAAATTGTAACTTTTCATCCCTTGCTCCCTGGGAAACAGCACCCCTGCTGCAATTTTCTGGGTGTGTGTGTGAATTCCCCTGAAAACCACCTCAGGGTTATTTTGTTTACCAAGGAAGAACAAAGTTACAACTTATATTCCAAACAGAATTTCAGACAGTATCTAGCTGCATAAAAGATGGAACGCAAGGTCATATGATTTGGCCATAGAGTTGCAAGTCTCTTCAAAGGTCATCTAGTCCAATTATCTGCCAGTGCAGGAAACCTGCTACAGTGGTGCCTCTCATGATGACAAAATCGCATCACGATGACTTTTGCGATCGCAATAGCGATTGCAAAATGATGTTTCCTATGGGGGATTTTCGTTTGAGGACGATTAGGTCCTTGCTTCGCAAACTGTTTGTTTGCAAAACGGCGATTTTACCAGCTCCGCAAAATGGCTGCCCCGTCTTTTCCAGACCCATGCTTCGCAGGGCAGCCATTTTAACAGCTGATCGGC